GAGCCCTTTCTGCACCCATTCCCAATGTATACTGAGCCCTTTCTGCACCCATTCCCAATGTATACTGAGCCCTTTCTGCACCCATTCCCAATGTACACTGAGCCCTGTCTACACCCATTCCCAATGTATACTGAGCCCTTTCTACACTCATTCCCAATGTATACTGAGCCCTTTCTACACCCATTCCTATCTTATACTGAGACCGGTTCTGTCCCTTTCGTGTCATACAAAAAGCCCTTTGTAGCTGGGAGTGGTGGCTCACACCTTTAATCCCAGCACTTAGGAGCCAGAGGCAGGCGGAGCTCAGTGAGTTCGAGGCCATTCTGGTCTACATAGTGAGTTCCAGGACAGCCATGACTGTAACACAGAGAAACTTGTCTTGGAAAACCAAAAAAAAAAAAAAAGTCCTTTGTGCCAGATAGGGTAGTTCACACCTGTAATCTCAGCCCTTGGAAGGTAGAGGCAGAATGATCAGAAGTTCAAGGCCAGCCTCAGCTCTACAATGAGTTTGGGGCCAGTCTGAGCTACATGAGACTCTGGCTCAAAAGAAAAAGAAAAAGCCCCGAACAAGTACTTAACCATGACCTAAATTCTTACAAGACAGAGAAACCCAGGCCGAATTGCTGTGGAATAATCCTCTTGTACACTGTAAAGATTTGTTACTTAAATTGGTTTAATAAAATGCTGATTGGCCAGTAGCCAGGCAGGAAGTAGAGGTGGGGCCACCAAACTAAGAGTGCTGGGAAGAGGAAGGGCGGAGTCAGCAGCCGCCAGTCAGCCACTGAGGAAGCAAGACATGTAGAAAATGAGGCAACAAGCCACGAACCACGTGGCAAAACATAAATAAGAAATATGGGTTAATTTAAACGTAAGAGCTAGCTAGTAATAAGCCTGAGCCATTGGCCAAGCATTTATAATTAATATAAGCCTCTGAGTGGTAATTTGGGAAGCGACTGCCAGGTAGACTGCCAGTTATGATCAGGCGTACAGGACAGAAATCTCCACTTCTGGTTAAAAGAATTGCCTGTGCTGATTGGTTTCTTTGTTAACTTGACACAAACTGGAGTCATCTGGGAAGAAGGAACCTCACTTAAGAACTGCCTCCATCAGATTGGCCTGTAGAAAGGCCCAGGTGGCTGTGAGTGGTGCCATCTCTGGGCAGGTGATTCTGAGGTGTGTAAGAAAGCAAACTGAGCAAGCCATGAGGAACAAGGCCATAAGCAGTGTTCCTTCATGGTATCTGCTTTGGTTCCTGCTCCCAGGTTCCTTTTCTAATGTCAGCTGTGACATGAAATAAGCCCTTTCATCTCCAGCTGTTTTTGGTCATCGTGTTTATCGCTGAAGCACACTAGGACGGTGCCCATGGTAACCAGCTGGCTACCGCGGCTCGTGATGTCTAGAAAGGTCCAGCTGTGCAGTTTCTGCTTTTCCATGGGCCTTTCTAACCAGCAATGGGACAGGATGAGATGCCCTGCATTCCTAGACAGTCTGTACCTGGATCATCTCCCCACTTGATCACAGCCCTTCAGTAGCCCTAGGGAGGCCCTGGGTACACTTTTGCTAACAGTGCTGAGACAAGCCCAGGAGACACCAGCTGACCAGTGCCCTGTCTGCCTGCCCACCCAGGCCCCACAGAAGACACCAGCTGACCAGTGAGTGCCCTGTCTGCCTGCCCACCCAGGCCCCCCAGGAGACACCAGCTGACCAGTGCCCTGTCTGCCTGCCCACCCAGGCCCCCCAGGAGACACCAGCTGACCAGTGCCCTGTCTGCCTGCCCACCCAGGCCCCCAGGAGACACCAGCTGACCCGTGCCCTGTCTGCCTGCCCACCCAGGCCCCAAGGAGACACCAGCTGACCAGTGCCCTGTCTGCCTGCCCACCCAGGCCTCCCAACTCACCACTAATGCTCTGATGCGGATGCTGTCCTTCTCACTGCTCTTGTACAGGTCCTTGAGCAGAGAGACGCCGTTGGCCGTGATGAACGAGGCCCGCTTGGCTTTGCCGGCTGCGTGGATCAGCGCCTCCACGGCCACCAGCTGTTCTTCCTCCTGCTCAGAGGCACACAGAGCGATCACACTCTCCATGACGCCGCTCAGCTCCAAGGCCCGGTTGCCGGCGTCACACGGGCCCTGCAGGAGGCAGGACACTGTCTGAATGGCCCGTAGCTTCCCGGCCAGGCCTTGGCCCTCAAACCAGCTCCTGAGGGGCACAGAGTGACAGCTGTCATGCAAAGCACGCAGAAGGGGCCTCTTGTTCCCAGCTCCTTTAGCTATACTGGGTGGGCACTGGGTGCTACTTGGCCAAAAACAGCCAGAAAAACTGCCAAAGGGAAGACTGGCCATTTCACAACAACGATCACTGATTTCCATTCCCTGCCCTCTACCTGAGCGGCTATCATGACATAATTTGTTGCACTATTGGAAAATCAAGGTGAAAAGGTTCGGGTGCAGTCACTCTGGAATGAGGAGGAGGTTTGGGCCAGGCACAGAGACATACAACTACATGTCCTGGCTACTCTGAAGCCCAGGAGTTCTAGGCCAGTCTAGGCTACACAGCAAGACTGCCATCTTAAAACAACAGCGTGTTGCTGGGCATAGTGGCACACAACTTTAGTCCCAGCATTCTCGAGAGGCAGAGGCAGGTGGCTATCTGTGAGTTCGAGGTCACCCTGCTCTACAGAATGAATTCTGGGACAGTGAAACCCTGTCTCAAAAAACAAACAAAAAACAATAGGGTGTGGTTGTCTGAATGAGAATAGCCCTCATAAATTCATATATTTCAATGTTTGGTCTGCAGTTAGTGGAACTGTTTGGGAAGGATTAGGAGGTTGGCCTTGATGGAGAAGGTATCTCTGGGGGTGAGCTTTGAGGTTTCCAAAGCCCACACCATTCCAAGTTAGTTCTCTCTCTCTCTCTCTCTCTCTCTCTCTCTCTCTCTCTCTCTCTCTGACTCGTGGCTGCCTCAACATGTAAGCTCTCCATTATTACTTCAGTGCCGTGCCTATCTGCTGGCTGCCATGATGGCTATGAATTCTACTCACCCTCTGAAACTGGAAGCCCTCAATAAACTCTTTTATGAGTTGCCTTGGTCATGGTGTCTCTTCTCCGCAATAGCAAAGTAACTAAGACATGGGGTGGAGGTGCTGGGGATCGATCACTCCCCTCCATGCTGAAAGCCAGTCACTTTTTTGATGGTACCCCTGGCACCCCGGCAGTGGGAGAGAGGCAGACTCCCTCACCTGATGTAGTTCTCGCAGAGTCGGTGGAAATTCTCCCTCTCGGCATCACACTTCAGGTCATCAAACAGCTTGCTGAGGAGGATGGAGGCACTCATGCGGCTGTTTGCTGTCACTGTGAGCTCCCCAGCGGTGTCCTGCAGGGAGCCCCCCACCTCCAGAATCTTTTTCAGACCTGGAAAGACACCCCATTTAGACAGCAGAGCACTGGCTCCAAGCCCTAAAGGTAGAGACAGCCTTGGAGACGCAGAGAAAAGCAAGAGCACCTCTCTGTCAGCCAGGAAGGTCACAGAGTTCCAACAGTGGCATGGCGGTTGTGAAGCCGGGGGAAACAGAAGCAGGCGCCAAGGATCACTGCAGAGGGCTGGTCAGGCAGGGCCTTGGCAAGTCCTTTCTTATTTATCTTTTTGGAAAATGAGGATTCTAAATCGCTGTTATGATTTAATTGTCTTTTTCTCCTAGTGTAGTAGCAGTAATGCATAGTCACGAAGAAAAACTTCAAACAGGCCAGTGAGATGGCTCAGCAGGTAACGGTGCTTGCCACCAACTCTGATGACTTGAGTTCGATCCCCAGGACCCACACAGTAGAAGGAGAGAACCAACCTCTGCATGTTATCCTGACTTCTGCAGTCATAGTATTTGAACACACACACACACACACACACACACACACACACACACACACACACACACAGTGTGTGGGGAGTAATGGGGGAGAGAGAGATTTAATAAATAAAAGTTTAAAATAAATAATGCAATTAAAAAAAGATGACACTGCCTTTCAATTGACCTTCTTCAGGGCTGTGCAATGCACATGCATTTGTACAGACACACACACACACACACACACACACAATTGGAGGGTCTTCGTGCTCCTTACAGGGACTATAAGGCCGTCGGAGGGCCGTTCAGGGCAAGCACACTGCCGGATATATACAGTTGCTACTTTTCTCAACACTCCCACGGAAAGGCAAGTCTCAGTCAACCAAGCAATGTTTTTCTAAACTTTATCACCTACCTTGATCAATGACCCAGAGTGTGAGGCTGTTGTTGGGGTCCTTCGGAGATTTCCGGGGTACCATTTTAATGAGGAGGGTCAGGGCATTGTCACGGCCTTGGCCGGAGACTCCCACCTCAGTCAGTAGCTCCAAGAGGTTGCTGATGAGGACCTTCAGCTCCCGGGCAGGGTCTGGCAACAATACACATTGGTGATCAATGTCTGTGACATCATGGGTTCAGTGCTCCACACCAAAGACAAGACAACACAACCGAAAACGTTACATTAGTGGATTCTACAGTGACCAGCCCTGTGTGACTGCGGAACCCCTCAACAGCCAGAGAGACACAGGCAAAGGAGGCTTCCCTCCGGGGTTCTGAGCTCAGCTTCCTCCTTAAGCACCTTGACTATCAGAATCCAAAGGAAAAGCTGGGCGTGAAGACATAAATCTCTAATGTCACACACTTGAGAGGCACTCGGGTCCACGGTGAGACCTTGTCTCAGCAAAACAGAAGAATCGGGTCAACCATCACCACTAAGCCCCCCTCATGAACAACCCGGAGCTACAAAGCTCATCCTGAAAGAATTGGCCGGGCGGGTTCAGCTCCATGCATCCCCTCCACAACAGTACCTATCATCCAAGGCACCAGACCTGCTTCCACTCACCCACAATAATGGCACCTTCTTTGCCCCGGAAGCCTTTCTTGACGCCTTCCTTGAGGGCGTCAACCATAACCTGCAGCAAGTGGCAGGCCGCCAGCGACACGGCCTGGTTTTCCACACCCAGGATGGAGACCACTCTCCGCGTTCCCAGGACACTCAGGGTTGCCACTGTCTACAGTGGGAAAGAATCGGACAGAGGCTTGGTTGGTAGAGGGCAGCCACGGTGATTCCTAACGGTGAGTGAGTGAGTGCGGCCAGAAAGTGAGCAGACACCTGGGTAGATGGGCCAGCTCCAAGAGAAAAGGAAAGGAGGTCTGGCAGTATGACCTGGGGTCGTGCCATGCTTCCTGTCAGAAAGGACCTAAAGAAAGCATCCCGTTTGGTGGTGGTGGCATACACCGGCCATCCCAGACAGAAACAGGACAGCAGCCAGTTCTAGGATAGCCAAGGCTCCCGACAGACAGACTGAAGCCATAACTAGACCTCTCCACCCCACCTACCCGAGACTGGTGCTCAGAGCAAATGCCGACCAGGGTGCGCAGGGCTGCCAGCATGAGGTCGGTCTCGCCCGTGTCCAGCAGCTGTTGCAGGAGCTGAACCCCATTGCTCCGGAAGATCTTCTCAGCTCCTGCATCCTCTCGGGCCAGGACCACAAGGTTCTGAGAAGCCTATGCCAAAGGAAACACATGGTAACGTTGACACTACATACATCCAAGGGCAGGACAAGCGCAGACTCTGTGCTCTGGACCTCACTGCTGCTCCTTAGCCAGCCAGGAATTTCACCCCCTGGAACCTCGGCTTCCTTCTCTTCAGGGAGAAAGGAGAGCCCGGTCTCGTGGGTGACGGGTACAGCGGGGTCCCTGGTGGGGCTTGAAGAGCAAGGACAGCACCTCAGTCACACAGTGTGCCAGCTCCTGGCTCCAGGGTGGCCACCAGGGTGCTCTGTGGACACTGGTTCTCGTTCCTTGCTTCGCACAAAGGACCCAGTCCCCAACAGCTCCTACGCGGGAGGCATGGCCTGAGGCTCAGTCTACAACACAGCAGGCCAGCAGGACTCCTGGGGCCCATACCGGTAAGCAAAGGGGTATGTACGGAAGCCCGAGAGGCTCACTCCAGGGCCTATACCTTCTGCTTCTTCTCTGTGCCTTTCTCTTTGGGGTCCAACAGTATCTGAAACATCTGTTCCACTTTGGCATCTGTTGAGGACATGTACCGCACCTATGACAAAGCACAGGATAAATCATCTTTCTTGGCCAGACATGTCATATTTCCCATGAGTCCTCCCGGGCTCTCCTCCCTGGGAGGCTCAGAGCGCAAGGCCAATAGCTAGGAACCATGGCAGGCAGGAAGAGACTTGCCAGGCATCTCCTCCTAAACTTCCCTGGGCTGTTTTCCTCTCTGAACTTCTTCCTGCTTGGGCAATAAAGCCTGCTGATGCTAAAGGAAGTGCCTTCAGAAGGAGAGGCATCTTGTCAGCCACAGGAAGCCCACTCACGGTAACTGTCAACTATACTACTGCAGCGGAATGTGTGAGCATGCTACTCTGGCACTGGACTTGCCAGCGACGTGCAAGAGACCAGAAAGGTTGTGAGGTAGTTGCTAACACACCCTTTGATGCCTTGCGTGTGCACGCCTCTGTGTGTGTGTGTGTGTGTGTGTGTGTGTGTGTGTGCATTTGTATATGTGTGTGTATTAAGTCAAAGTATTTTTTGAAAGCCTCCTTAATCCCATTCTTTTCTTCCAGTGTTACCATATTCGTAAACACCACAGACAGACAGACAGACAGA